GTTGCTGGCCATTCGGGTTTGAACCCTACAGTTTGTCGTCTTGCTGCTATTTTTTATTGGCCAGGTCTTTACTCTGATGCACGCAAGTTCATCCGGGAGTGCCCTACTTGTCAACATAACAAATATATGCCAACAAAAAAATTTGGGTTATTACAGCCCCTCAAAACCGCCAACAGAGTATGGGAAGACATTTCCATGGATTTCATTACGCACCTTCCAAAATCGTTTGGTCATTCCACGATATGGGTTGTTTGTGATCGTCTCACCAAGTTTGCCCATTTCATTGCCCTTCCTGCCCACTTCACAGCACCACAGCTCGCTCGACGTTTCATGGTTGAAATCTTCAAAATCCATGGCTTTCCAAAATCCATTGTTTTGGACAGGGATCCCTTGTTCGTGAGTTCTTTTTGGCGTGAACTTTTTCGCGCCCAAGGCACCACCCTGGCTTTTAGCTCTGCCTATCACCCTCAGTCGGATGGTCAATCAGAAGTCTTGAACAGATGTTTGGAAGCTTACCTTCGTTGTTTCGTCAGTGATCACCCTCGTGCTTGGTACCAGTATCTTCACCTGGCAGAATACTGGCATAATACCTCCTTCCACACTAGCATCGACACATCTCCCTTTCATGCTTTGTATGGGCGCGCGCCTCCAAGCCCAACGGATGCCTTACGCGATTCATCTTCCACCTCTGTGGACCTTCTCCTGCAAGAGCATAAAAAGATTTTAACAGAAATCAAAGTGCATCTTTCGAAGGCTCGTCAACGTATGAAACATTTTGTTAATCTGCACTACCACGACGTTACCTTTCAACCTAGTGATTGGGTTCTTTTGAAGCTTCAGCCGTACCGCCAGACTTCCGTGTTACGTCGCACGTCTCAAAAGCTCGCCAAGAGGTATTACGGACCCTTCCAAATTCGCCGGTGCATTGGCTCCGTCGCTTATGAACTCCTCTTGCCGGACACCGCCCGTATTCATCCCGTGTTCCACGTCTCGTTGCTGCGCCCTTACAAAGGCAACGACCCTCTCCACCACTTTCGGGATCTTTCACCGCACCGGATAGACGCCACCGCAACCTCTTCGTACCTTCCGTCACCACCAACTGAGCCAGCTGAAGGGCCTCCATCTAATGACTTCAATCGCGTGCAAAGAATATTATAGTGGAATGACTTGATTTAGTGGTGTGCTAAGTTAGAAACTAAATGTAGGCCCTTGTATGACTAAACCAGTATAGATCATGGTGAAATTCTCTCTTAACCTTCATCTATTGATATAATTCTATTATCATCTTGTGATATTTGTTAAAAAGAATTTCAATTTCTTTATCTGTTATCAATTGCTATTCATTTTCAGTGCATCATATATGCAATTTGGTAATAATAAAATAAATAAGGTAATTTCTAAAATCAATTTGGATTACGAGTAATTGATGCGCTGCATGCTATATATGATATTTTGTATCTTATCACTAATTTGTAATCTAAATTTGATTAGCTGTAATTAGGATAAGAAAGAAGAGAATAAGAAAAAGTTTTTAAAGACTATAAGAAGGCATCTAAGAGTAGAATCTATTCAACCTCTTATTCTAGATTCCTATTCTGCCAGGATCAACATGGTTGTGTGACAACCACAACGGGTCGTTACTCTTTTTATGGTATTAGAGCCAATCGAGTCTTTTGAACATTTTGTGGTGGTGATTCCATTATGCTTTTGTTGTGTTATCTTTATGATATATGGTGTGGTAGTTGTATGTGGTGATGATATGGTGTTGCTAAATAGTTTGTTGATTTATTATAAAATAATTAGACCTTAGTATGCTCAAATTGCTAAGGCCATAGAAATGATGACCATGGCAATACAACAACAAAGTGTTCACTTTGCTCAGATGGAGGTAAATAGAATCACAATAGAGACAGCTACACCTGTGATGTCATAGGAGGGGAGAGACTTAACAGAGTTCAAAAAGTATCATCCTTCCCAAATCAATGAGGATTTAGATTCAGGTGTGGTTGATGATTAGCTAAGTGAGATGGAGAAGATCTTTGAGATTTTGAAGTCCACTTTGATAAAAGGAACTTGACTTATATAATGTACATGTTAATGTGAGAGAGTAAGTATTGGTGGAGAGGCATCAAATAAATACTCAATAGTGTGTTTGGATGGAAAATTTAAATGAAGTAATTCAATTATTTGAAGAGTTTCAAATTCCTTGAAGTAAAATACCTTGTTTGAATGGAGAATTTATAAAAAAAATTAAAATTTAAACAGTTGTGAAATTCTTTGAAATAGTAAATTTTTAAATTTTCCAAAAAGAAAGTAAGAATTTGAAATTCTTCATACATTTTTCTTATTTCACTTATATATTTTATCTTATCTCTTATCTCTTCATATTTTTAATTATTAAATATTCGAAAATATTTTTAAAATTATTAAATATCTTTTAATATTAAATTTTAAAATTATTAAATATTTAAAAATTAACTAATATTTATTTTATATAATTTAATTTAAAAATCTTAACATATAAATATATTTTTAAAATTAAATTTTATCATATAGTAAAATCAAATTATTATATTCAATTTAACAATTTAAAAATTTAATAAATTTAAATTAATTTATCCAAACAAAATATTTTAAAAATAATAAAAATTAAAATTACAATAATTAAAATATTAAAAATTTAAAACTCTTTAAATTTATAAAATTTCACATCCAAACTTATCATAAAAATAGACACGTGACAATTTAATGAGACTGTTTCATCAAGAAAGTTTTTCTAAAAAGTATTTCTTAGATAATATTAGGGGGTGTATTGGTTTAGGATTTTGTAAGATTTTAAAAGACTTTTTTTGAGTAAAAATGTCCATTGGTATTCAATCAAGATTTTATGTCACTTAAAAACAATCTAGTGGTATTCAATCTGGATTTTCAAGATTTTTTAAAGAGTCCATTAAAATTCATTGGTATTCATTTGAGATTTTTTACAACTTAAAAATAATCTATTGGTATTAAAAAATATAAGGATTTTAAAGGATTGTTGTGTGAGAGAGATTTTGAAGGACTTTCTAGTGTTATCTATAAATACCAAATTCATAAAACAATCCCATCCAAACCCATTGGATTTTGAAAGATTGTTTGAAGTGACTTTTCAAGAATTTTCAAGTGAGTTTTTCATCTTTTTTTTTTCCTATGCTTTTGTCTTCTCCATTTTTTCTCTGCTAATAATATTGCACTATTGTTCATTGCTCATATATAATATTGTAATATTGTTCTCATCTCATTCCCCTATTTTGTGAAACTCCGACATGTAAATGATAGTTTCATTATATATATATATATATATAAAAGATGAATTTGTTAGGGTTTCTGTGAGTAGAATGAGATGAAAATGGATCTTAGTTGGGGGAAGAACTCTCTCAACATAAAAACTGCGATCTTTCTCCTTCCCTTAAGTTTGTTACTCTTATCCCTTTTTCTTTTATGACTCAACAATTATTTTATTTTTTTTACTATGAATTTCTTTTTATTTTTATATTGTGAAATTAGGAATTTTTTATATTTTAAAAAAAGAAAATTAATATAAGAAATTGCAGTATCTAATGGTTTAGGATTTATGCCTTCATTAGCTTCTTTTTTAAAAAAGAAAATATTGTTAAAATATTTGTTAAAATAATTTACATTTATAAATATCGTTAAAAATATATAACTAAAATAATATATATATATATATTCTCTATATCTAAATTCTTATTCTTTAAATAATAATAATTATTATTATAATTATTATTATACTAATATTATATATATTGCATATGTAATTAGGTAAATATTTTTTGGTGGATTGTGGATTTCCTAATTTACATCAATTTTTAGCTTCATTTCCAGGTGTAAGATATCATCTACAAGATTTTGCAGGTCAGGGTAATGATCCTGAAAATGAGAAAGAATTGTTCAATTATAATGTGATCGAGAGAATATTTGGTATTTTTAAATCAAGGTTCACAATTTTTAAGTCAACGCCTCCATTTTTATTTAAGACACAAATAGAACTTGTGTTAGTATGCGCAACACTACATAACTTTCTACGTAAAGAATTTCTTTCCCATGAATTTTCAATTGAAGCGTTGTGTGAACCTTCATCTTCAATGTTACCAGTTAATGAAGATCATACTTTTGAGCCTATTATTCAAACCCAGGAGCAAGAGTGAAAAGATACTAATGCTTGGAGGACTAGTATAGTTATGAATATGTGGGTGAATGCTATTTAACATGATAGAATATTATGGAGAATTATTATTATTATTATTATTATTATTTATCTAGACATTATTATTTTTTTATTATTTTTGTCTTTGACTCTTTTTAAATTTACATGTATGAAATTTTTTTTGAAATCTTATCAAATGTAAAAAATCCATGGAAATTCTATAAAATCCAAAAAAATCCATTAAAATCCTGATTTAAAAGTTTTGCAGAATCTATTAAAATCCTGATTTTAAGTCTTGTAAAATCCTGCAAAATCATAAAAGTCGTAAAAATCCTGCAAAATCTTTTAAAATCTGCAAGATTTTTTTTAACTAAAAAAGTCATTTAAAATCCTAATCCAATACACTCCTTAGATAAATTTTTAGGGAAGTCGTATAAAAAAAAAAGGAGTAAAATGAAAGTGAGAGGAGATAGAACGATTGAATGAGTGTCACAATCACAATGCGACAATTTCCACAGATATTATTTTCACAGCCTACCATCACATCAAATCTCACCCGTTGATTTTCCCTCGACCGTCATCAAATATCTCATCCAACGGTACCCAACTCCCCAACCATACAATTTCGAACATACCAGAAAACCCCTCATCACTGCGGCGAGAGACGAGTGATGAAAACGACGTCAACGTGGGAGAAGATCCGCAAAAGGATCAGAACCGCCCTGAGATCGCGACACGTGTACGGCGGATACATCACACTCTCTCCCCTCAACCGTGTTATAAATTCGGGTCGTGGCATAGCCTTGAAACTCGTTCCAGTGTGTGTAATAATAGTTTCGGTGTTGTAACTTGTTCCTCCTCGTCGTTATCTTCTTTTCTTCTGTGTTCGGTTTTTCTCTCACCTCAAAATGTCTTGCTGCGGTGGTAACTGTGGTTGCGGAAGTGGCTGCAAGTGCGGCAGTGGCTGCGGAGGGTGAGTGCGATTTTCATTTCTTTCACGGAAAATGGAGGTTTTCCGAGAATTTTTATTTTTATTTTTATTTTTATTTTAGATTTTTAATGGTTTTTCGGGTACCCTTTTGGTTGAATTGCATGAAAAAAGTATACTTTGTTTATTTTCTTGCGTGGGGATATTCTGATCACCTGAACCTTTGTTTAATTTTCTCTCACAGGACATGTCAAATTTTATTTTTCACCTCAAGTTTTTGCGTGTTTTGATTGGCTTTTTGGGCACCCTTTTTGGTGAATTGTGTAAAAAACAATTCTTTTGAGTTTTTTCTTACATGGGTTAATTTCCGTGAGCTAAATTCTGATCCCTTTGAGGGTTTCTTTAACTTGGGTAAAGATCACCATGTTTTGATTTTGCTTGGCTTTTATGGTACCCTTTTTGTTAACCTTTGCTCCTTAGAAACTCCTCAGGTTTAGAAAAATGTTTCTGGGTGTCCTGAAACATTCACATAATCATGGCATAGATGGACGACCTTATTCTTTATATTTTGTGCACTTTTAAGAATAAAGAGACACAAGGATTTTCTTTTCACATGAAACGATCTTTCCCTTTTGAGTTTGTGTTGTGTAAATTAATTTCACTGAGACTTTTTTGTTCTTTTCTTTTTCTTTTTTCTTAATATTTGTGGTGCAGCTGCAAGATGTACCCAGACTTGAGCTACACTGAGCAAACAACCACTGAGAGCTTGGTGATGGGAGTGGCAACAGTGAAGACTCAGATGGAGGGTGCTGAAATGGGTGTTGCAGCTGAGAATGGATGCAAGTGTGGTGACAACTGCACCTGCAATCCCTGCAATTGCAAGTGAGGGTTCAAAAGTCAAAGCTTCTAGTTAGCAGAGATGTCCCTAATTACCCCATTAGAGGCAGGAATTATAATAACTCCTAGTTAAGACTTATAAGAACTTAAAATTATGTACGTTTGTGTTTGTTTTCGTGCACTCTGGTGTTGAAACACCCTTAGAATAAAGTGGTCATGTTGTGCCCTTGGACATGTTCAAATGTTCTGGACTTGTCATGGGTTCTGTATGAAGTTGGCTCATTAGAATTATCAATCTCTGCTTATGATATTATGTTACCAGAAGAAAGTGGCGTTTGTTTTATGTGATTTTCCTTTTATGAAACTTAGACATGGTGGTCACAAATCCTAAATAACATTTATGATATCCATGTGAGTATCTGAGAACTTTATTTTTCCCCAGTCATGCAAATTACAATCATATACTGTATGATGATACTCCTCGTATTCAAGAACAAGAACACGACTACTCGGATTTAAGAATTTCAATGAAGAACTGTTAAGTTGATTAACAATAATTTTGTGTAATATTTGACATTTATTACTTCCATCAGTGATGAAATTGGATAAATATATGAATTTCATGAACAACTATGGAGGAAGATATTCTTCCTTTGAGTGAAAGGTGACAAATAATGTAATAATTATTATTATTTTGTTTTGAAAACAATACATTGTTAAACACATGCATCTGGGGTCATGGTTGGTCCCCTTATTCATTTTGCTGATGGTTGTGAGTTTCACTTTCATGTGCGTGTTTGGCAGATTAGTATTGTGATGGATACGTGTGGCTGTTTGGCAGATTAGTATTGTGATGGATACGTGTGGCTCTTTACGAACAATGTTGAATTATTGATCCTCATTCTGTAATTTGTAATCTTCTTTTACTTTATTTCCGAACTTCTTGATCTTTTCTCATTTCTCTACTTAATTAATACTTTTCGCATTCATATATTTTTCCTCTTTACACAAAGAGTGTATATTTCTTATGGCTGTGATTTTTTATTTTTTATTTACTTTCTTTCCAACCTCTTTTTCCACTTCTCTACTTAATTAATACTTTTCTTATTGACATTTTTTTTTCTTTACCCAAAGAGTGTGTATATTTCTTCTGGGCTGAGATTTGTTTTATTTTTCAATTCCTATCCCTATCTGAATCGATGTCGCAATCATGGATTGTCAAAATCTTCAAAACAGCAGATAATGATAGGTGTTTTTTTTTTTTTTTTTTTTTTTTTTTT